TAAAAAACTAATTAAGTATTTATCTAACTATTAATTCGAGTTATAGCAAATTAAGTAGTGAATTAACTAGTTTTGTGTACAACATTATTTTTAAACTAGAGTCAAATGTAGCAATTAATAAAAAATTGTAAAAAACTAATTAAGTATTTATCTAACTATTAATTCGAGTTATAGCAAATTAAGTAGTGAATTAACTAGTTTTGTGTACAACATATTTTATAAACTAGAGTCAAATGTAGCAATTAATAAAAAATTGTAAAAAACTAATTAACTATTTATCTAACTATTAATTCGAGTTATAGCAAATTAAGTAGTGAATTAACTAGTTTTGTGTACAACATATTTTTTAATAAAAAAATTGTAATTCCAACTATATTAATAAAAAATCGTAATTCCAACTATACTAATTAACTAGTAATTAAACAAGTGTAAATAATAGAATAATTTCGTACCTCTTTCGGACTTTCGGTCTTTCGGATGGGAGTAATAGAATGACTTCAAATTAATTAGATATAATTCCAACTATATTAATAGATATAATAAATATATAAGTAATATATAATTAGATAACAAATATAAGTAATATAATACTATTTATATCTATTTATAATTTATATAAGTAGATAATTAATATAAACTATAAATAATATATAATATATTGGAGAATGGAGAATAAGAGAATTAGAGAGTAGAGACTAGAGAGTTAAGAATAGGATTTAGGAAGAATTGGAGAAGAGATATGAAAAAATGTTTAAGATTAGGAGTATTTATAGGTTTTTTTACCCCCCACCCCCCCCCCCCACCACCCAACCCCCCCGGAACCCACCCAATGGCCATATAGCCGTTTGGGTTGTCCCCAGCCCCACCCCCAACGGCTAGTAGGAGCCCAACCCAAAAAAACTTTTTTTAAAAAAAAAATTGATCGAACCGGACCCGGGCCCGAGCCCGACCCGGCCGGGCCGGGTCACACAAATGCTGAACCGAGCCCGACCCGCCCCTTCCCCCCGGTTCGGGCCCAGACTCGGTCCCGGACCGCCCGACCGGGCCGGTCCCGGGCCCGCACAGTACCGGGCCGGGCCGGGTCACGGGCCGGGTGGCCCGAATCGAATCCATCCCTAAGTACAATGGAGGTAGGCACTTAAAATGAAGGAATCGTAAAATCTAACTTAGTTAGAGAGGAAATAGAACGTGGTGTCAAATTTGTTTATTTAAATTTAGTTCGAACAAAAATGGCATGTGTGTTGTTAAAAAATTTACTTCTTTAGCATTTCAAACATTTCAAATTACTCCAAATAAGACTAAAACTATGACAAAATCCAAAATATGACTTGTTATGTTTTTATTTCAAATAGAATCTTATTACTCATATTGGAAACATATCTATTTTTCATTGCATTCTTACTCCTCCATTAAATATGCAAAAAAGGTAGTCAAAAGTCATAATTAAATGATTAATTCATAATCAATTCGAAAAAATTATAAAAATCGAAAAAAATAATAAAAGATTAATAAAATATTTATAAAATAAAACAAATATTTTTTAAAAAAAAAAATAATAAAAAAAAGAAAAACTCCCATAAAAAATTTAAAAAATATGGATGATATGCCTTTTCCCACCGTCTATAGTGTCTCCCTGCGCCGCCAGATCTGACTGGTATAAAAATGCCATTTTTCTGAAAATGCCAAAAAATGGCATATTACTCTTTGAGAATGCCAAAATTTCATTGAATTTGCCATAAATATGGCATTCCAAATGCAGGTGGCATTTTTTTCTTCGGTGACCGGAGATGATGGTGTTGGGGCGGCAGAGGCAGAGGCAAAGGCAATTTTTTTAGCGTTTTTATTTTTTTTTAAATACTCCATATTAATTTTTTTAAATTTTTTAAATTTTTTAAATTAGATACCTTTCCCACCGCTTGTACTGCCTTCCGGCACCACCACCTCCGACCGATATAAAAAATGCCATTTTTTCTAAAAACTGCCATTTTTTCTGAAAATGCCAAAAATGGCATATTACTCTTTGAGAATGCCAAAGTTTTCATTGAATCCGCCATAAATATGGCATCCATAAATCCATAATGGATGTGGCATTTTTTTTAGCATTTTTTAGTTTTTTAAAAAAATAATTTTTTTAATTTTTTAAATTAGATACCTTTCCCACCGCTTGTACTGCCTCCCGGCACCACCACCTCCGACTGAAGTAAAAAATTTCATTTTTTCTTAAAACCACCATTTTTTCTGAAAATGCCAAAAAAGGGATATTACTCTTTGCGAATGCCAAAATTTTCATTGAATCTGCCATAAATATGGCATTCGTAATGGATGTGGCATTTTTTTCCCCTGGTGACTGGAGGTGGTGGGGGTGCTGGGGCGATAAAGGCAGCGGTGAATTTTTTTACCGTTTTTTATTTTTATTTTTTTTTTAAATTTAATTATTATTATTTATATATTTTTATTATTTTTTTGTATTTTTTATTTTTTTTGTTTTTTATTATTTTATTACGAATTAAAACATTTCAATAGCAACAAAGGTATATTTATCCAACACACACATAATTAGTCCTATCAAAACATAGTTTACTTTTTGGTCCTATTTGTGCAAAGTGACCAGCTTTTAGTCCTATTTTGACAATTAACCCTTGTTTTAATTGCAACATTGATTACAAAAACATTATTCACATGCTCTACTTTGACTTCATTTTATTTATTAATATATGAGAATTATTTTAAAAAAAATTGTAGAATTCATCTCATTACAATTTTTCATAATCCAAAATTCAATTTTTTAATAATATATAATTGAATATAACGACGATCAAAACTATGCATTAACAAGCTTAAAAATAAGAATATTGCAACTAAATAAAGAACGTGAAAAGTATATTTTTTCACCCATCAAACATAAATCAATTATTGTCATTTGGAATTCCAAAAAATAGGACTAGTATGTTTTTCTTCCCGAAATAGGAATTATTACTGTCATGTATGAAAAATATTGTCATGTTTGAAAAATACTGTCATTAATTATAATAAATATTGTTATGTTAAATGCACTGTACTGCAACTATTTGGCAATCACGGCTACAAGATTACAGTAAATACTGCCTTGTTAGTCCCATTTCGAGAATAAAAACAAAGTAGTTCTATTTTGGAATTTCAAACTTCATTTACTCCTATTTTGAGAAATCTCCCCTTTTAATAAGATATACGCTTAAGTTTTTTCACACGATTTCAAACTTATCACACGTTTTGAAAGAGTATAAAGTAAAAAATTTAAACCCCACATTTTTGGAAAAAGATGCATTTTCTCTTGATTACATGTACATTTGAGCAGTTTTTCTTTGAGCTTTTTCAACGAGCACCAACTTTGTTACCACTTACCACTTGCCAGTAGGGATAGATTCGGTTCGGGCCACCTGGCCCGTGACCCGGCCCGGCCCGGTACTGTGCGGGCCCGGGACCGGCCCGGTCGGGCGGTCCGGGACCGGGTATGGACCCGAACCGATGGGAAGGGGCGGGGGCGGGCTCGGTTCTGGATTTTTGTGACCCGGCCCGGTCGGGTCGGGCCCGGGCCCGGGTCCGGGTCTATTTTTTTAAAAAAAACTTTTTTTTTGTTTGGTTTGGCTACTAGCCGTTGGGGCCTTGGGGGTGGGGGTGGGGACAACCCAAACGGCTATATAGCCGTTGGGTGGGGTAAAGGGGGGGTCCGGGGGGGTTGGCTGGTGGGGTGGGGTGGGGGGTGAGGGGTAAAAAAACCTATAAATATTCCTAATCTTAAACATTTTTTCATATATGTTCTCTAATTCTTCCTAAATCCTATTCTTAACTCTCTACTCTCTACTCTCTAATTCTCTTATTCTCCAATATATTATATTTATTATTTATATATCTACTTTATAGTTTATACTTAAGAAGTTAAGATGGAAAATCAAGATGCCATTATACGGTATAATTTTGATAAGCAGAAGGACCAGAAGACCGGGATGTGGTACGCAATTTGCAAATGGTGCGAGAAAAAATGTAACATGGGGGCTTCAGGCGGATTCGGGATGGCAATCAAGCATATCAGGGGTGGACTCGGGTCCGGGCCGGGTCCGGGTCGGGCCTAGGCCCGGCCGGGCCGGCGGTTCAAGAATGGTGGACCCGGGACCGGCCCGGGTAGCCACCGGGTCCGGGCCGGGCGGGGCCGGGCCTCCGGTTTGGATTTTTTTTTTTTTTTTGCTTTCCTAACCCCCCCTCCTCACCCCCCACCCTCCCAAACCCCCCCAAACCCATCCTACCCATCAAGCCCAACCCGGGTGGAACCCCAAAAATGAAAAAAAAATATAAAAAATTCAATTTGGCCCGGGCCCGGGCACGACCCGGCCGGGCCGGTTCACCAAAATTGAGACCCGAGCCCGGACCCGCCCTACCCCCCGGGCCTAGGCCCGACCCGGACCCGGACCCGAGAACCGAGCCGGTCCCGGTCCCGCACAGTAGCGGGCCGGGCCGGTCCACGGGCCGGGTGGCCCGACCCGAGTCCAAGCTTAAAGCATATGAAGTCATGTGACAAAGCTAAAGGATCGGGAGGTGCAGGAAGTTCCGATTGATTACAATTTTCAAAATGTTTCTCTTAAAGTTTGTTTTAATTTTCAAATGTAGTTCCTGTTTCATTTCAAATAAATGCAATTGAAGTTTGTTTTTAATACTCGTATAAACTATAAACTATAAAATATAAATTTTAAAAAAAAAATTAACCGACCCGGCCCGAATCGGACCCGACCCGTGACCCGGGCGGGTCGCCCGGCCCGAACCGGACCCGTCCAACCCTCGGGCCGGTCCCGGGCCCACTATTCTTGAACCGGCGGCCCGACCCGGCCCGAATCCTTCCCTACTAGCTAGTATTGCATTTCAAAACAGTACTTGAACGATATATTTTCAAAACTATGCAAATGTTTCATTAGTTGCATTGAATGGTTTGATTTACAAAGTCATGATATGTACTTTGAAAAGGGTATTATCTTCAAATGTAGGCAGACAAAATCAAGTGTTACAAGGCCTAACGTACGTGCAAGATATAATCAAGTGTTACAAGAGTTTCCCAATGGCATCTATACTTTAATTAAGAGATTAATAGAGTTATACATACATTAATCCTCCAGTCCAGAAAATTTTACTATGTACGCCGCCTAAGAATCACTAACTCGAAAAACATACATATGAATAACTACGCACGTTACTCAAGTCTAGTGCGTGAACATTTCAAGTTTAAGACTTCGGTTCAAGGCGTTTTCTTGCAAACCGTCCCCGTCTTCACTCCATGTCGTCCATCTGAAGCTTCCAACATTTCGGGTCTAACTCTGCCTGCCAAGAGCCAAAGGTAAATGAAAATTATAGTTAGTGCAATTTGAAGTTGTGTATACAATGTGATTTTTTTCTTTAACTTTTTCAGTAATGTTTTGTTGAAAAAATGTGGTATACCCGACACACTTTGTCGCTCCACTGGACAGCACAGCCACGGACTTGTAAATGATCAAGAAGGGGTTGTGGAAAAACAGATTTAAAAGATGATGAAAGCTTCACATTCGTCAATCCACCACATGCAAAAAGAGAAGCCGCTAGAGCACTGAGACTCAACCCCTTAAGCTGAACTGCTGTCATGCTCTGGAGAGAGCTGATGCTGGCCAGAGATAATAAACCCAAATCCGTGACCGATGTGTATGACAAATTTATCTGTGAAAAAAGAAAGAATACAAAGAATCCGTTGCATGTTAGTCTCGCATCAAAGAATTAAAAAGAGAATGATGGGTTGATAAGATTAGTTCAGCTAACTATACAAGTGAATCAAATGTAAAAAATATAAAACCCAAGGCCTTATTTTACTACTTCTATTAGGCTGATCTTTTGATAATCACACTCACTTTAATATGTAAACAGTGTATAGAAGACAAATGAGCATTACCTCTCTGAGATTTTGGGAGAAATGAGCGAGGGAAATCATCCCCGCATCATCAATGTTGTGGCACTTCTTTATGTCTAGCTTCGTAAGTAGCCTGCAACCAACAGCAAGTGCAGCTAGACCTGAAGATGTCAGAAGAGGACATCCTCTGCTTTCAAGTGTGCTTAAATTCAAACACTTGGACAACGATACAAACGAGTGATCGGTAATCTGATTGCAATAGGCGATGTTAATCATTTCCAGGCTGAGGCAACCATGGGCAATGGCATCAATGCCCGAATCTGTCACTCCAAATGACCTGTTGTGGAAAATAATAAGTGTATTGATCATTATTCAAATCCAAAGTAGAGGAAATGCAGGGGAGAAAGACATGAAAAATGACAATCTGCAACTTTTAGTACTCATTTTAAGTCCCACACCTAACCCCTTAAGGGTCGCTTTAATAGCTTAAATGTGGTGGGAAATCATCCACCTTTCTAAGTACCATTTGTGGTGTGTGTTGACAAGGCATCCCACACCAATAGAATTCGTAAACATTTTTTAATTACTCTTCTTAGTAGGTTCATAATTCAATTTTTAAGATGAACTCATGGCCTTGATATGCTCAAAAGGGTATCTTGATCTAAATAGGAACCTTAGTATGTTTAAGATTAACCTTTTCCAATTAGCCACTATAAAGATTAAAGACTATGGAACCTCAAGTCTTGAATTGGTAAGCCCAAAATAAATCTAATGACTACAAAACGCAGACCTGTATAAATCAAGCTCCTTGAGTTTCGGACAACACTCGCCAATGGGCACAAGCCCCTTGTCACTTATGTTCAGACAAATGCCCAATTTTAAAGACAACAGTCCCGAACACTTCGAAATGGACTCAAGGCCTGCATGAAGTACATATAGAAATCCACCGTCACAAAAAATGTTATGATTCCAAAGAAGAAATATTGAGAAATCATGAATAGGAAATGACCTTCATCGTCAATTTCATTATCCGTAAGGTCAAGCTCTTCAAGGAACTTGCAGCGTTGGCCAATCAAAACAAAAGCTTCTCGCGGCACTAGTGCGCAAGACTCCATCCTGAGTGAAGTCAATGAGGAGCAAAAATTTGTAATGTTGGAAATCGATTTGTGAGTGATCTTGCGGCAACAAGTGATGTCCAACTTCAGCAATTCTCTGTGCTTTGTAACAATAGAGCAAAGACCCTCATCTGTAACTCCTGGGCATTTACTCAAACTCAGCTCCCTTAGTGACACACTCCAGTTCCCAATGGCCTTTAGCCCACAGCATTTCACCTGACAACCATCTAGTTTAACGGACTGCAACATGGAAAGCTTCTGCAAGCTCTCACTAAGAGCAAGTGTTACCTGTTCACCATTTATAGTTAGTAAGACTGTAAGAGTCCATCTGGAACTACTACGATACAAGGGAAAGAAAATGGGGGGGGGGGGGGGGGGCTATAGCATTGCTATTGTAAAACTTATGGACAAAAATATGACTACATGATCCTTATAGCCACTACAAAGATACGTAGTCATCATGGTCAGTAAGGTCACTATTAAAATACCGTCATAGTTACCACATAGTAAAAGTAATAGTTTTTGTCCATTACTTTTATTTTAATCATACATTTGTCATTATTTCAAGAAAATACGGAATCAATTGGAAAGAAATGAAATTTGCGGAAAATAAAAGTGCTTCGAACTCCATGAATCAATTTTATATATTTGTTAAAAAATAGTCTCATTTCAACATGGACTGAGAGATTTAAATTTATACGGAGTATGTAATATATAATTTTTCTTGATCAAATTAAATTTGAAAATTTGCATTTTTCAAGGTAAAACCAAATATGTAAAAAAAATAAGAAAAAATTACAATTCAGTGTTTTTTTCTCCCACCCATTTTCCAAATTTCAACCATATATAGCCTACAAACAGGAGAAAATGAAACATGTAATGAAGAGCAACTTGAAAGTTGAAACATTATGGACTTACAGGAGATCCATATGACAAGGTAAGTTGTCGAATACATCCTGCACTGCTTGTCAATGATGATAAACCCACAGGGCTAACATTCTGACAGCTTGACATATTGAGTTTCTGTCAAAAAACACGAGGTGTGAAGTTAATATGAATAATTATATCTTGGGTGTATCATGAACCATCTTTTGTAAATATATTGAACAAGTGATTCTATCTAAAGGTAATTATACCTCCAGTGATTTGCACCCTTGTTTGAGAGCTATGAGACTGTCATCATCAATACCATAACATCCTTCCAGACTCAAATCTTCAAGATTTGGCAACTTTAGGATTGATGATAGGCAATTGTTTGAGATCTGCAAATCAAACATGAAAACAACATTAATAACAAAGACATAAACATCAAGAAAACAAAGGAACTGTATCTAACAATGGGGCAAAACCTCTTAGTGTGGTCAACTAAACATTGGGTCGAAGTAGCTACTAGTAATATATTGTGGACTCAACCAAATACTGCCATGATCATACACATGCTTGACTAAATGCTTTATGATCTAACTGAGTGGCTTCAACCAAATACTGCCATGATCATACACATGAGTGTCAATCAGCTCAATATAGTGACTTCAACACAAGCATGTAACGCATATTACCCTAAGAGAAGATATTAAACCTTTCTAAACAAAGATGATTATTGAACAAATGTGTTCTTTTGCATAAAAACTAAGAGTATGAAGCCTGACGCCTAGATCCCATCACATCAGTCCTTGACCAAGAAAAAACTAATTGGATCTCTATTACCCTTGTTAGTTTCAAACATACAAACTCAAAACTGATATATGTGCATAACTTAAAAAAAAGTAAAGGAAAAGGGTGGTCACCGGCAAATATGAGAGATCCAAGCTGCGAATATCCTTGCACTTGACAGCAATCAGACAGACCCCTAAGTCTCCAACACCCAAACACCACCTTAAGTTAAGAAGCCTCAGCTTTTTACATCCAACAGCAATACAACCAATCCCAATATCAGTAATACCCTTGCACCTCACCAACAACAGCTTCTCCAGGTTCTTAGCTTCTGCTATCACGGCTGCAGCCATGTCCGTCAACTCAATCGCGTTTGACAAATCAATTTCCACCAGATTCCGACAACCCATCACCAGATTTGACAATCCGACGTGGGTAAAAAACTTAGACCTAGAAAGATTGATTGATCTCAAGGTCTCCCTGCAGGAACCGGAAACCACAGTGAGTGAACAGTCGGTGATTCTGAGACACAGAGAGAGATCAAGATCAGAAACATGACGGTATCTTTTGAGGGTTCTCGTCAAGTGCAATGAACGTTTGGGCTTCAGGGTTTTTCTGTGGTGGGACTCAACGTGGTAGAATGCCTTGCAAACGAGAGAGAATGATTTCCTATCAGCTGGGTTTTCGTCAAGACAATCAAGAATCGAAAATAACATCTCTTCCGACAGCAGATCAAAGTGGTTGAAGTTTGACTCCGAAATCGAGAACTTCTGCTTCTTCATTGTTGTAAAGATCAAAGCTTTATCGCATGCAAGAGAAAATAAAAGAAACAAAAAAATGGGATCTTTGGGCTCTTCTCAGCCCAGAAAAGCCAACTTCCTGTTGCTTGAGGGTTGGATTTTCAAGGCGATAATTAAGAGCAACCCACTACAAATCTGGGTGATTTGAAGAATAACAATAATAAACTGTGGGTATTTTCGAGGGAGGTTCAACTTTAAAAACTGTGGGTGATAGAGATATGAAGAATAGCTATAATAATTATTTAATTAGCACTTGGAAGCTTTTCTTTGATAAAATGTTTGGATGATTTAAAGCAACCGCTAACAGAAACACTGGCCTTGGTCTGATACGCTGATGATAATAATCCAGTGAGATAGGAGGAAGAAGAAGAATAAAAACATCCAATTGACTGTAATACCCTTGCTGACAGATGAAGAAATACATCACACCTGGCGCCTCCATTAGTTAAAGACGCAAGTGACCCTGAATGGGTATGCAGACCAGGCCGAGGGGGGTCTAGCTGGCGGGGCATTTCAGTCATTAGAGGGGAGAGGGACCAAAGTGCCGTACAGCAAAGGACGGAAAAGGATGGGGAGGGAAAGATGTGACTTGGCGAGGGCAGTTATGGAAGAAGGAAAAGTGAATGTGATATGATTTGCGTGGACCAATTCCATCTCACTCGGTGGAGAAAGTATGTGAGGCAGGACATATGTGACATTTAAGGCACGTCCGGACGGAACGTACTCACAATTTGTACTGAAGAAAAACCAATAGCAAATCTTGTTTGTATTTTCACATTCATCAGTGGAAAAATGGCATACATCAAAGTCTCAATCAACATCCATTTTCACATTTCACTTTTTTTTTGTGATCGATGAAAAGGTGAAAATAAAATGTAAATACACACAAAAGGTTAATCTAGCACAACTTGAAACATTTCATTTGTTTTTACCTTTATATGAGGATAAGAGTATCTCTAATCTTATAATATGCACGTTAGATATGTCACATGTGAAAATATAACATGAGTTCATAACTTGTCTCTATCCCTCCTATTCATGGTCTTACAAGTTTTTATTCATGATATAAACTGAACTGTATACAACTATACATTATGTTTGACATTGTAATGAAAAATATACAAAAACATATAAGATCGTTTAAATAAGAAGACAAATATTCTACTTATGACTCCACGTGTGTACGACTGGTTCACGTTTTTGCAATGAAGTTGCTCTAATTAGGCCTCGAATTTATCGTAAACAACATTGATTAGTTGCTCCAAAATTCTTTTTGATTTTATTTTATTAATTAATTAATTCTTGCCACGGTTTTCTATTTTGGAAAATATTTTCATTTTCTTCTTCTACTGTATTATCTTCTCCTTTTCAATACTTCTACAATTTGTTCCTAAATCACTAGTTGGAAGGGAATGAGGTGAATCAAATTTTTGCTAAATCTGAATATTGCATGTAAGCACGAATACTTCACTACGGTATCGTATCAGCGTATCGGAAACGTTCTCGTATCAGATACTCTAGGATACCCATATCGTACGTTTCCGGGTCATATATGCAAGTTTTTGAAGTTTCCAGCTTTTTGGTAATTATTTTAAAATTACGGATACCCGTATCCTGACGGATACACGTATCAACTTTTTTTATAAAAAAACATCCAAAATTTACATAATAAAATTCTCAAAAATAAAAAATTAAAAATAAAATTTACATTATCCATAATGTTTCAATGCAAAATTTGCATTAGAACTTTTTGTTTTTATATTAGAGTTGTTTTCTATCTCCTTTATTCAACAACTTTAATTTGAATACTTGCACTTTTAAATTCAGAACTATGATTGTTTGACTTGTTTCTCATTCTAAATTAACGACTTATTGACTATGTTTATATTTCGAGATGCACTAGTTATATGAGATAAAATTGAAATTTATTTCTAACTATTTTGATAATGTGAAGTGCTTGAATGTCATGAATGAGCAGTGGTCAGTGGTCAGATGATAATATATATGTGTATATATTTTCAAAAACAAAATCTTGTAATTTTTATTATTTATAAATACACCCCCATAATTTTTATATTAAATGCATCCCATAACATTTAATATTTATAAATACACCCCTTTATTTGTATCCTACATTTTAGGTTTCGTCGTATCCCCTTACCCGTTTCCGGATTTCCACGTATCCATATTTAAGTATGTAGAATGGTAAGACTACAAACTACCAACTGTTCACATAAATCTCATCCATATAGAACAATATCCAAGCTTTATTCCAAAATATATTCTAAAATTTCATCCATTGCATATATCTTACCATTCTACATCCTTACATTTAACTTATTTGATAAATCAGTAAGATTATAAATTTATTCTTAATGCTGTAGGACAAACTTTTTACTTTGATAAGCAGGAATTTGATATATTTGACATACTACGCATAAATCTTTTCTGATTCGAACATGAAAACATAGTAGAAGTAAGACTAATAAATTTGATATATAATGTTGGCAAATTATACCGTGAGATCGGTGTACCATGCGCATGGTATACCGATCTCATATACGGTACCATTTTTGAAAATAATTCGGTCATCTGCTCATTGGCACACTCCGTCTCCCCCGCCTTCCTTACTTTTGTCTTTTTCATTTTTTAGTTGTTGGCTCTTTTTCTAGTGCACTCCACATCCTCACATCCTCTATCTATTTTCCTTTTTCATTTTTTTACTCTTAATTTTTTCTTTTTCCTTTTTTACTTTTATTTTTTTCTATTGTGGAAGGCAATCATATTTTCAAATGATATTCTTTAAAAATTAGTACCACTGGACCTATGTACTTGGTATTTCAATTTTGTGATTTAATTTTCATCCTTTCAAAAAACATCAATTGTTTTTTCTTTCTATCTCAATCCTTATTCATGCACCTTTTTTTCTTTTTTTCTTCAACTCAAATTACAACCAAAAAATTATTATTTTTTCTTCAAAATAATTTTTTATATACTTTTTGTAATATTTTTTTCATATTCGTACACTTTTTCCTATAGTATATTTCTTCTCTCTTTTATATTCATTTAGTACTTTTAAGATAGTAAATTTGGTTATTTTGATTTACATTTGGGATGTTTTTACTTGGACTGTAATTTGCTGGTCTGGTCTGGTCTGATCTGGTCTAGTCTGAACTGGTATGGTCTAGTCTGGTCTGGTCTGGTTTCTTTGTATTTTTATAACTATCCAAGTCTGGTCTGGTCTGGTCTGAACTGGTCTGGTCTGGTCTGGTCTGGGACGAATTACAGTCCAAGTAAAAACATCTGATGGATAGTCTACCCGGGGGTATATATCCGAAGGGTTATTGCTGGGTATAACTTAGAGAAAAGTCAGAGCAAGTAAATGTAGAGAGAGAGTGTATTATAAATGTGGAGCGTTTTCAGCGTCGTTACAAATGGGGAAATGGGGTGCTATTTATAGTAGCAATAAATGCCGGGCAGGGACACGTGTCAAGCGCCTATTGGCCGAGGGGTCACCTCAACTGGTTGGCGTTGGCAGCCGCATGTGGCCGCATTTAATGCGGCTGTTGGATGGGACGTCTGTGCAGGGTACGGTGATCTGTACGCATGTGAGGCGGATATCATGTTGGGAGAGGTGCCCTCGGCTGCACAGGACTAGCCGAGGGTTCTTAGTGTCGAGGACCCCTGAGTGCCGAGGGCTCCAGGTGCCTAGGACTACTTTTTTCGCCGTTTTCTCCCAGTTCCTCTGTTTATTCGAAATATCCATGTTTTGACAGTTTGGAGCCTTCGGCCAGGGGGCCGAAGGCACCCTTGGTGCGCTTTGCGGGCTGCTTGGTACTCTGGGCGCTGTGATTTGGGCCTGTTGGGCCTTCTGGGCCTGTTGGGCCTTTACAGGAGTAGTAGGAGTCTATGGGCCGGGGGTTCCCGGGCCATATACTCCATCAGGAGTCCCTCACTCCTTTTGCCGAAAGGTACTTGAGGGTAAAGGAGCAAACTGTGTCTGCCATTTGATGTTGCTCCGTTGTAGTTTGGTGAGGAGTTGTTGCTTTTATGTCCCTGCCGAAGGCAGCCCCTCAGTTACCCACATGTCGGGACTTGAGGGCTTGCTTTGTCGTTTGTTGGAATTTCACTAATTTTGTAATTTAATGATTTTCCCGAGGGGGTCCTCCAGTCCCCCACTCCTTGAGGCACTTGTAAAGTGGTAAAAAGGAGTAGAGTAGTTGTGTTGCTGTTGTGGGCCGAAGGCTGACACTTTTCGTTTCATTTTGGGGGGATGCCTCGTTAAAAACCTCACTAGGAAAAACCCTGTGGGAAAAAATCCTAGTGAGGGAAAAAGAGTGCACCGAATTCCCCCAATGATGAATCGAAAATGTGAAACCTTGGTCAAAAATGGAGAATAACGGTACTGCCGAAGGCTCTTCTTCTTCTGAGTGCTTATGTGTTGATTGGCCGAAGGCTTGTCGTGGATGTCCTGGGGGCTCCGAAGGGGAGCCCCTCAGTCTGGGGATCGAGGGCCTGATGGATGAGGGCAGCAGTGGAGTTGTTACCGGGGGGTCCACTGTTTGTTGATTAGTTGGTGATGAAGATACCCGAGGGCTCCCCATGACTCGTGTGCCATAGGCTATCCGTCAATGAGGCAACTCCCCGGGGGCTACCCCGGTTTTGCAGTGCTGAGGGGGAATCCCCGAGGGGTGCCCTGATATGAAGCCCTGGGTTTCTGAAGGAGTGATCCCGAAGGCTTCTGGGTAAGTGTACCCGGAGGCTATCCTTGATGAAGTGGAGTGAAGTAGAAAACCCGGGGGCTTCCAGAATATAGCCGTTGGAAATATAGCCGTTGGAATATGTAACGTCAGGTTTATAGCCGTTGGGGGGGTACACGTGGCGTGTGATGGCTAGCTGTCCGTGGGCGGCGTCACTGGTTGGGTGAAGACGTGGTGTGTAATGATGGCGTCCATCCGGAGGCCCAGTTTTCGGGCCCAAACCCGGACTCTGGGGTCTATAAATACCCCGGAGCCAGAGCCATTTCTTCCTTACGCGTCCAAAATCCTTAGCGAAGCTCTGCCAAAAATTATGGAGAGAGAAACTCAAGCCCTCGGTCATAGCACTTTCAGAGGTTAGTTCTCCCTTCGCTCCTCATCATTTTTCGTTAGCTTTTGCTCCCTGGCCTTAGGTTAGGTGTTATAGCCTTGTAGAGAGCCCTCGAAATCTTAGGCACATTCGTGATAAAAAATGTCGTCCGAGAGCGATTCCCAGGACATCTCGAGGACGCCCTCGATGGAAGACGAAGGTATCTCCGATGCGGAGTCCAGTAGCAGCCAGTCCTCGGGT